ATATACATCGTTTGGGCTCAGTCATTTTTTCCCCAAGGAGGTCCTGACTTCTCCCATCATTTTCCTTGTGATCGTTTCACTAGGGAAAAAAAAGGTGGAAAAAAGCTGGCTTTTCACTTCCACGCGTTAGTTGCACCCAGGAGACCTGGTCATGCATCACAACTCCATAGTACTAGGCACTGAGTACAGCATTAGAAAAACAAGCACTGGGGGGGGAAAAAAAAAAAGTCAGGAGCAAAGCATATAGCAGGTCCCAAGCATTACTGGAACACTGGGAAGTAAGTGTTGCTGCTAGCACTGCTTATGCAGCAGTCGCTCAAGGGCCTTTGATGTAACTGCTGCTGCCTGGGGCATAGTTTGTGCAGAAGCTTTGATCTTCCTGTTGGAAGCTAGGGTGCTGAATGTAAGACAGCCAGAAGGTCCTTTGATCTGGCTGTTGCACAGAACACTGTCTATGCAAAGTACATTGACGCAGCCTTTGAAAAGTCACTGAGTCTGCTATTGCTGAAGTCAGTTCTGAAGGATTTACTGATAACTTCACCTACAATGTGGCAGAAGAAATGCATGTAGAGCTACCATGATGCTGAGTACTGAGAGTACCTCCTAGACAGCTTGGCGAGTTGCTTCCCCACTAAAAGTCTGGGGCAGTTGGGAGCATCTGAACTCTGACTAGATCAGAACCCTCAGAGGCTCCTAAGTTGAGAGCTCCTCCCAAGGCAACAGAGGTTAAAAGGAGTTGATCAACTTTTAAAAGTCTCTCCTGCATGCCTGGAGAATCTGGAAGTTTGAGGAACTGCAAAAAAGGGGCAGCATAAGCAGTAGATTCAAACCAGAACAAGAACAGAAGCCCTGCAAAATTGTGTGCTGGGAAGGGGAGAAAGGAACAGGAGCCCTTCCATCTCATCTTAGATTTAATAGGAGGGCTCTGTTCTTAAGCCTACAGGCTTTACCTTCCCTTGGAGATCTGTGCAGATCACAGGGAACCTACACCAGATGAGTGCTTTAGCTCTTGAGATCAGTTATAAGGGATAAATGCTGACATATACCTTGGGACCCACTCCTAGAAAGTGATTCCATAGTATGGAAGGCCACTGCTGAAAAGCTACTGCAGCCTTAGTCTTTCTTGGAAAGGGGAAGGAGAGGAAATATCAGAAGTCCCTGAATACTCAACTCAGTACACGGATCTTCAGATTCATGGAGACCATAGGATGTAGAAAGCAGCCAGTCCCCCTGGTGAGCCAAGGGAGAGACTTGTACAAAGAAGTCAGAGGCAGCAAGAGGCAGATTGTAAGCTTTTAGGATGTACAGTCGTCTGTCTGAAGTACGTGATATGCTTTGTGTGTTGCATTGCTAACTGGCTAGTATTCTGGAAGGTTACCTTTTCATGAAGGTTACAATGTACATCAGGCGAGGTGTGCAAATCATGGGCTGGTCTGTTAGGATAGCTCTCATAGCCTGCTTTACACAGTAGTCTGGTTTCAGCGGTGGGAGGAAAGGCTCAATTTCTTTTCTGAAATTTTATTTATACAGGTTAACAAGAGTTCATGAACTGATTTACCAAAGCTTGTTCAGTTAAAAGATGATTGTCTAGCTGAACAGTTAACTCACTCTGAAGTGTTTAAAAAAAATGTAACTTCTTTGTTGCTTATTAACTAGTAAATTTTTAAATGGATTTTTATATTCACATTTTAGGTTCATTTCATTCTTGAGATTGAAGATAAAAATCTATAGATTTTGGCAACAAAGCACCACATAAGACTACTGAAGAGAAAACCAAGTGTGATTGCATGCTAAAAGAATACCAAAGCAAAATTGTGCTTAAGAGGCTCATTTAGTTGCAATATAGTTTGCTTATGAGACTTGCTTCAGACAAAGTCAGTCTAAATATTTTACTGAGCAGGTTCCTGACTACACTGTTAAAAAAACATGCAACAGATTAAAAATACCAATAGTAGACATGTCCTATGTTACATCAGGTAACATCCAGGTATTGCTGACCACTAAAAAAAGCAAGGGGGCAGGGGAAGAGAGAGAAACAAGTCTTCAACCCTAAATTACTCTAACTGAAATTAAAAAGTGTTGTGACTAAATTTCAGGAAAGCAAGTGTTACTTGTTCAAGTTATTGCAATCTACTTCTCATGCCTTCAAGTTAGTGATTTTTTCTTCTTTTTCAAAACTGGATTAAGAACAGCACTACTAAAGGTGCACTGGGCAAAAGGAAGAGTCTATTCACCTGATTCTGCATCCTCTGAACATTCCTGTATCTACAAGGTAAGGACACACCAGGGTCATTTTAATACCATCCTTTTCAGCAGCCTTCAGTTCATGGCTCAGAGATTCATGGAAACCCACAGCTCCAAATTTGCTGGCACAGTAATCCTGTGTTGGCAAGAAAGTAAAAATAATTAGCTAGTTAGTATAAATGATATATAACAAGTCTGATACAGCAGCTAGCTATATTACTTGACCATAAAGCTCTGAAAGTGCAATCTAGCACACGGAACCAGGAGCCAAGAACTCCCTGTTTAACTCTAGCCTAAAACACAACATTGGAGCTGCTACTGAGCTTTGGCCAAGTTGGTTCCATTTTGCTTCAGTCTCTCCATGTGTAAAACTGTTAAAAACTTCCTCATCTTCAAGGCCCTAGGGATGCTTTGAAAATTGAAGTCTAACCGGGGTGGGGGCAGGAGGGGAGGCCAACCTCGCTTTGGATTTGAATAAAATATGGTAGATGCAAAACTGTTTTTAAAATCAGGATCATCTAGTAGAGATAATCCACAGCTGAGCACCACAAATAGAATTCTTAGCCCGTCCAGGGTTGATGAGAAAACACTAAACCAGAGTCCTTGGATCCTCTAAGACAAGGGTTGGCAAAAGACAGGGGTCAGCAAACCAAAGCATGGCACATGAAGACATTTAGCTTGGCACACCAGCCTTTAGGGAGGGTGGCAGAGGAGTTGCATAGGGCCCAATCCTTTTTGGGGCTGTGCAGCTCTGGCCCATTCCCTGCTGTCTGCCCTGAGGCATGCATGTACCTTCCACCACAGAGCTGGGCTAGGGCTCCATGGAGCCTGGTGCAGCTGTTTGTAGCTTCCTGGGCTGCCTGCCACAGCCAGCCTCGGCTCTGTGCAGGCCTGTGCCACCTGCCACAGAGCCCAGGATGCTCCCAGCAGCTTGTGGGGTGACTCCAAGCAGCTGCACTGGGGTGCGGAGCCCCAGCCCAGCCCAGTGCCAGCAATGGGTGCATGTGCACCTCTGGGCAGACAGCTGGGGCTGCACTGCCACAAGAAGGATCAGACCCCTTGCTGTTCCCCTGCCATCCACCCCAGTACACCAATGTCTTACAAGTTGACACACTAATTTT